GGGAAGGCACATCTGCTAGCCTAAACCCAAACCACCTCAGAATAGTCATTGGAGAAAATCTTATGGCGGATTCAACTTAAGGGCAAAAAAGCCAAGATTCAAGAAAATGAGAGAACATGCCCTACGACCTGATCCAAAACCACCTTGGAGTGGTAGAAAATCTAGCTAATCACTTTAAATTAAGCACTTCTTGGGAGGCAACCCAAGCATAAAATTTTCTTTACTTTTATTTGTTTGTCTTTTATTTTAATAGTTTAGATTTTTTATTTTTTATTTTTTCTTCATAGCCCAAGTTAATGCATAAATTGTTGTTCTTTGATTTTGGCCAAGTCATTGAACAAGTTTGGGGGACAAGATTATGAAAATTTACATACTAGAGGTCTCCTCTAATTGAAGACAACTCAACTTCAAAACTTCAAGTCTTCAAATGCAAAACTTGGGAAGTTTTTCTTTTCTCTTACTTTTATTTTACATTGAGGACAATGTTTGATTTAAGTTTGGGGGAGAGAATAACTTTTAGGCATCCATTCTTAGATTAGTTTGCATTCATATTTGCATGACATACATTTTTGTTTAGAAACTAGGGTAAATTTTTTTTAGGAGTTGGTTCAATTAGTGTCAAGGAATTGAATATTCTTGAGTTAGAACTTTTAAAATATTTGAAACTTAGAAGAGATACAAATTTGAAAAATAACACCATTGTGATGAAGTTTAAGTTCATGAGTTTTCTATTCTACTTGAGCACAAGTTTGTAGTGAGAAGTTTAGAGGGAAGACTTAGTAGCACCTAAATAGTACATAAAAAGAAAAGGTTAAATACTCTTTTTGGTCCCTCTACTATAAGAAAAAGCCCTTTTTTGGTCCCTGTACCGAAAAAATCCCCTTTTTTGTCCTTACTGTTTATAAATCCGGCCCCTTTTTAGTCCCTCCGTTAAATTTTGGCTGATGTGGCAGGTTAATTAACAGAAAAACTCATTTTGTTTTTTTTATTAAATTACATGGAAAATCCACATGAAAAAAATTGATGACATGCTAAATTTTTTACTTTTAATTACTGATTTGCCCTCAAAGATTGATGACATGGTAAAATTTGTTCCTTTAATTACTAATTTACCCTCTTCTTTCTTCCCCGGCCTTTTCTTTTTTTTCTTTTTCTCTTTTTACATCTAGGCTAGGCGATGGGTTCGCGAGGTGCGAACCCAGCCCAGGCTCCTGGGTGTGTGAACCCAGCTCGTGGGTTCGCACCTCGCGAACCCAAGAGCTGGGTTCGCGAGGAACCCAGGCTCTTGGGTGCGAACCCAGGCTCCTGGGT